GAGAGGAGATGAGGGAGTTTAACAGGATGTTTAGAGCTGCAGAGTTAGGGCATTAAACCTGGGTTTGCAGACTTGCAGAGGGGTAAAATTCTGTAATAGCCACTATGGTGCATTTAATGGGATTTTAGAAAGAGGTTGCTAAGTAGTTCCAAAAGTGTAACTGAAACATGAATTTGTAATGTGTGCAGTCGAGTGCAGTTATGTGACTTGTTCCAGGTTCTTCAGTTCTAACAGAACATCAATACTGAACAAAGGCCAGAGTTTTAAAATTCATCGTAGGCTGGCCTATTAAAAATATATGCTGAGGTTAGCAGTTGGGATATTTGTCCATGAATTCTCTAAAACTTAACTTAAAAAAATCCTGAATATAAAGAGATATGACCAATTATTTTATTTACATCATGGGACCTAGTTAAGGATATTGTTGGGTAAGTGAGATCAAACAAGCCCTTAAATTGGACACTTACCTTCTGCCTCATCAATGAATAAGTACATGCTGAGCACCTCCTGTACACCTAACAGTGGAAGGGGAAGGGAACCCATTGCTCATTATCTGCTTCTAGACTTATAAGAAAGAAAAACTACATTGGCAAAGCGGGGTATGCTGCTATTTAGACTGAATTAGTATATAGTAATACATACTAAATTAAATGAGCAATCTACTAGAGCACAAATAGTATTGAAAGCACCAAGTGAGCAATGCTAAGGTTGAGAGATATAAAAAGTCAAGATGAGTGATGTTCACTGGCCTAAACATAGTCTAACTTCTGAACAATAGCTTCTCTATACCAGTCAGTCAATGATTGCTTTATGAAGGGATTCTCAATGTGCTTCAACATCTACTCTCTGTACCTTCATTCCAAACCCTGGACCATTTGGAAAAAAGTGCAGGGTCATTGTCTGTCAGACAGACACTAGAGGAACAGAATCTCTCTCTCTCTCTCTCCTCTCTCTGTGTCACATGCACGCACGCACACCCACCCACACACATGCCCACTGTCCACAGGGTCAAAGAGCAGTGTTGAGGTAAGTCAATGAGAGCAACATGTCACAGAAATCTCATCACAGATGTGAGCAGGAGAAAGATTTCCAGTGAAGAGTCCTTCTGAAAAGCCAGCTAGAGAAAGTGCATGGAAAGCTGATTTTCTGTTTCCTAAACTTTAATGAAAATGATTTATGATTAAGATCTTATTTACATATACATAAAACTACATAAGTGAACACTGTGGTGGAAGAAAAAAAGATAGTTTAAGTAAATCATGGTTCACACTTGGTTGTAGATTTAAATACCAACCCTTATCCTCTTTGTCCATCCACCTTTCAGAGTGATTCTCCCAGGAGACACTGGCAGAAACTGAAAATAGAGTAATTTATTTGAAAGACCTTATGGATTTTAGAAATATGTGGTATTACTATCTATAATAGTACTGAAAACATGAAAAGAAATGTAGGTATTAATTAGATAATGTTCTCAAAACATGAAAGCTATTCATTCACAGTAAAAATATTCTGCTCACATATTGTGTATAAATTATTAGCTTCTCAAAGGAAAAATGTCATGAAGAAATGTAAGTGATGTGATTTGAAGCTTCCCCCCTTTTTTCTTTTTCCTTATTATTCATATAGTTTCACTAAGATAGGGCACTTGTTTGTTTATGAATGCTTGCCAATGGTTCTCTTTTCTTTCCTGTATTTTTAAAAATCACAATTGCTTTTTCCTTCTACCCATTTTATTCAGAGATGACCAAACACACTGTGTTGTAATTCTCTGTGAAATCTTAAAATTAACAGTGTTTCACTGAAGGGAGATTAGGAAGAATAGAACGCATCAGCCAATCAGTTGGGTGCAAAATATGTTTGAATTTAAAAATATATATTTCTTCTGTACAGAAGTATGGCTCATTGGATTGTCAACCTCAAACCTGAAAGAATATCTACTCCTTTCAGTAATTCTGAAACAATAGTTAATGGAAAGGTTTTTTGTAATGGAAAGTTTGAACACATTATGTCACAATCTTAGATTTATCAGAATGTGATTATAACATTAAAACTATGTAAATATTATTAAAGAAATAATAAAGTATTGTAGTAGCATAATGAGATTGTACATTTTTTCTCTACCAGATTTAGATATACTCTTTTTTTGAAAATTTTAATTTAATTTATTTTAATTAAAATTCAATAACAGAAAGACCTTTGGGAAATCTCCATATACAATTGGCCCTTGAATAACATGGGGGGGTAGGGATGCTGACCCACCACACAGTCAAAAATCCACATATAACTTTTGACTCCCCCAAAACTTAATTACTAATAGCCTACTGTTGACTGGAAACCTTAACGATAGCATAAACCGTCAAATAACACATATTTTGTATGTTATATGCATTATGAACTGTATTCTTTTGTTGTTGTTGTTAGATATACTCTTAAAAAGACTTAGCTACAATAATTTAGATATAAAATTTCATATGTGTTTATTTATTTTTTTAAAGATTTTATTTATATTATTCATGAGAGACATAGAGAGAGAGAAGCAGAGGGAGAAGCAGGCTCCCAAGGAGCAGCGAGTCCGATGCGGGACTCGATCCCAGGACCCTGGGATCATGACCTGAGCCAAAGGCGGACGCTTAATCCTCTGAGCCACCTAGGCGCCCTCACTGTGTGTTTATATGGCATACTTTCACTAAGAAGATAAGATGTTTGGATTTATTTTAAATAAAATTGATAATGAAAAGAATAATCAGAAAAATAAATCAACAGGAAACACATTTTTCCATGTGTGTCACAACCTAAAATATATGTTCCTATTTCCTTAACCACGCATTTTCAAAAAGGCTTTTGGTAGCTTACAAAATTGTTATACCTAATTATCCATAACCATAATATTCCCTTATAAAATTGCTGTCCCTTATAACTGTTATTGTCATTTCCTTATTGACATCAGAACATTTACAAAGTAATTGATCTATCCTACCTATAATGGCAATGTCTACTATAGACATTCTGGCAAAATGTTAACAGCTCACAAAGAGACAAAATATATAAAATCACTTAACAAATTTCATAGCATAACGATCAAGTATAACTGCAAAATTAGAATGCAGCCATTATAAAAGAGTGAACAGTGACCTAAAGGCAATGATTGCTATCTAGGCTATCCATGCTAATCTGTGAACAGAATCTCTTCATTATGAATGAGTAGCTTTCATTTTTTTTTTTTTGAGAATGTTATCTAATTAACACCTACACTTCTTTCATGTTTCCAGTACTATTATAGATTATAATACCATAATACCATCAACTTGTATCATTGCTATTACTGCAGGAGCAGAGGTACAAATACCCAGAGGATGTGAGAGAAAAAGAAAATTATTTCCCATATCCATCAAATCCTATCTCTGAACTTATGTTCATATCTACTGGCATTATATCTAGTGCCATGTTACTTATGAGGCACATGCAGTTTGCATGGGGCTGCACCTGTTAAAAGCTGAGTCTTCACTGGAGAATGAGAAGTGAAAGCATTACTCTTTAAAAATCAGGGTTTATCATAGAAAGTAACCTTGGATGCTAAAGATTTTCACAGGAAATTTTAACGTAAGTCCACCAGTGGTTAAAATTTTGAGAATAGGGTTATAGAGAATTGAGACAGGCAACCAAGATATCCTGCACAAGAGTACTGTAGGCAAATATGCTCAAGACTGAATTGATTCATTGACTTACCTGAGACAGATACCATGTTGCACCAGTCAATGACTTTATAGAGTAGATAGTAAAATGAATGCACTCATCAGATATGTGAGAATCACAGTCTGAAATCTTTTTAGGAATAAAAATTTTTATTCCTAATTTGGAGGATACAGAATAAAAAAGGTACCTTTTCAATTTTGTTACAAAACTTTATTTCTATGTTTGTTTATTTATTTGTTTCTGTATTGATTTTAAATACAAGCAAAATATCTCTTATTGTAATTCATTGTGAATGATATCCATGCTATTCTGATAACTACTTTGCTATTTCTTAAAAGTGGAAAAAGTTAGATTGGTTGTCATCTGAAATCCACAAATACCAATGATTTATAGAAGTCCAATATTACATTGACTTAATCTAATAATCAGAATGAATGCTAAAAAGACCAGAAGCTTCCCACAGCGTTTCAATGTTCCTTATTAACTGTTCATTGACAATAAAATTATTTATCTTCTGAGAATCCAAAGACAAATTTTGACATATTCACCAAAACAATTATTGTCTTATTACATTTTCCAAAGAGCCATCAGAAGCGTAATTCACTTTTTGAGCAAAATGTACACACATTTCTCTTGTTACAAGAGAAAATAATTGCTCTTCTAAAGTTGATCATGAAAACACAAAGTGTATTCTATATACTAAGGTAGTATCCCCTCCTTCAAAATCTTCCCTTGGTTGTATTCTTACTAATTCTAAGCTAATATCCTTCTGAAATTTGGGGCTTCAACCTACATAATAAGGACCCGGGACTTAACAGAGAGAGAAAAAGAATCACCTATGAGAAACAAATTTAAGTAACATGAATTAACTTTTTATGGACGACTTTGAATGATTATCAGAATGCTTTCCTTTAACCTAATTATCTAATTTCATGAGTCTAACAGTGTCTAACTCAGACTCTTGAATGAAAGAATAAAGGTAATGGGTTTTCATTGCCTTTTCATCATCTCCTCTTCAATATGGAACAGGCTATATAGAAGCCAGAAAGACAAGTTTTAAAAAGGGCTATTTAGGGGAGGAAGCATGGAGTCAGAGCTGGTTTATAGTGATACTAAAACAAGTTGACCTATCTTGCAAAATGCTTTTTAACACAGTGAATGACTCAGGACCAAAAGACACTATACTCTAGCTGAGCAGTAGCATCATTTCCAAAAGGGCAATGTACACACACACACACACACACACACACACACACACACTTATAAAGAGTTCCAGAGATAAAATGGAAAAAAAAAAAAAACCTTACTGAAAAGTCTTCAAAGATTTTCTTGAGTTCTTTGTGACCATGCCTTTCAGCAATATGTGTTGGATCTGAACCCTCGAAATTTTTCATCGTAGACGCCCAGGTTGCTCCTGAACATTGAAGCAAATGAATAGCCAAGTTCTTTAAACCAAATTTTGCTGCACAGTGGAGAAGAGTTGGGAGTTCTTTGAAATGAGTATCTGTAAGCATAAGAGGTAAAAGGATTAATATGTTTTTATCATGTCTGGAATTCCATAAGAAGAAGTCAAACACAATCTACTAAAAGTAATTCTCATAAAGTAGAACAGACTTTCAGTGTGATTTCACATATAAGAAACCATCAGTGGTTTTAACAATGAGGCATCTCCTCCTTCCTATTTCTCATCATACAATAAATATAAACTGATATTCTCACTAGCATTAATGCCCCCATCTTACTTGGGGGGTAAGTTTAATTTGGAAAGGCATATCAACCCCTTAAATACAAAATAAAACAGAACACAAATATCATATTGTAATAAATCTTTTTGAATATATTTCAACATGAGCCAAACACTAACAATATTAAATAGGTCCATCTATAAAACCTTTCTGTGTTTTCTACTGCCATGCCTAGTTCGCTGCCTTCTGAAGGTGAAATGGACACATAACTGCTGGAGGGGTTATATTAGATTTCTATGTGAATTTTTTCTTTCAAAAAGGAACTGCAACAGAAAATACAGGTGAGCACTTTTATAAGCATCTTCAGTATGGAAATTTCCATCAGAATTTTACAGCTTTCATGTCAATTTTCAGAGTTTGAGTTTCATAATTAGTTATTAGCTATCAATTAGGAGTATTAATTATGTATAACTATAAAATGGTGAGTGTAAACTGCTATCTCAATGAAAAAACACACATACAGAGATGAGTGATGGTTTGTTATTATTCTATACTTTCACACCTAGCTGGAAAAAATGTGTCACAGAAATTACATACCAGCTTGCTTGAATAGCTGTGGCATTATCGGAAGCATGCAATGGGAAGACTTATGGCAACCGAAACAAAGGTGTCAAAGCAAAAGTCAATTTTCTTCCATAATGTTTTGGAAAACTGAATCTGGCTTCATTTACCTCTTTGCTATTTTGTAGACTAAAGCAACAAAAAAGGAAATGAGGAAATGAGATGTTGAGTTTTCAATTCACTTGGGTGTTTCAGGGTGTTATTTAGTTTGTTGGTTTGTATGTTTTAACAGAAAACAAAACAAAGCCCTCCAGGATACATTAATAACTTTGCTGTAAGGAAATATTTTACCCTTCAAAATGTGTTAGTACTAAATGGCTATAGGTAAATCCCATGGTTGTATTTCAGTGATAAATGCACTGGTCCCTTCTTATGTGGTATGCAGTGGGTCAAAATTTATCAAATATTTTATGAAGATGAACCTGTGAAAGCTGAAACTGTCTAAAGTAGGTACCATCTTCAAAATAAAAGTGTAGTTACTTAAGGTATTAAGATATAATTTTTTATTTATTTTCATTAAAAGGCACCATGAAATATAATTTTCTGCTATAATTAAACCAGGGCAAAGTTAATGAAGAAAAATATTTACATGATAATGTCAGATTTCTACATACCCTTGATCATCTCTCTCACTGACACATCATACAATAAACAAAAAACATCACCTGGAAATCAATGCTTTATGCATTATTCCTGCACACTATTATTCTGGTGAACTTTTAAATCACTGTCAATGCAACTTAAAATGTTTTTATCATTAAATAAATGTTTAATCATTATGGGAACACAGTCACCTTTTAACCTCACCAAACCCCGGTCAGTAAATCCCTCAAGTTTAGGATAATATAATAGAAACAACAACAACAAACTTCATTAAGAATCTCTCTTGTACATCAAAAAGAGTAACTAGGACTATGGTAAGTGGTCATGGTTTTTCAGGCTACCTTTCTTAACAGTCGTGCTACTCTGAACCGTGCTTTCTGATATGTAAATGGAAGAAGTTCTGTTGATTTAAGATTATAGTGATAGTAAAGGGTGCTACAAGTTTGAAGGTTGGCTTCTTTATTTTCCATTTCTCTACTTCATTTTTAGTAGTAGCTTAAAATCCACTAATCTACTAGAATACTTTGTGAGGTTACAGACATGAAAGAGCCTTAGAGGGTATCTTTTCAGTTTCCTACCCAGTAATAGAATTGTATTCCTATGTGTAAGACTCTTGAATCACAGACCTGTACCTCTGAAACAAATAATACATTATATGTTAAAAAAAAAAAAGGAAGAAGATAGCAGGAAGGGAAAAATGAAGGGGGGGAAATCGGAGGGGGAGACAAACCATGAAAGACTATGGACTCTGAGAAACTGAGGGTTCTAGAGGGGAGGGGGGTGGGAGGATGGGTTAGCCTGGTGATGGGTATTAAGGAGGGCACATACACTGCATGGAGCACTGGGTGTTATATGCAAACAATGAATCATGAACACTACATCAAAAACTAATGATGTAATGTATGGTGATTAACATAACATTAAAAAAAAAAGAATTGTATTCCTAGAGTTCATAAGAGATGATCTGGGTTCTACTTGCATACCTCTAATGACAGAGTGTCCTTTACTTCCTAAGGCAGCCTGTGTCTTGGTTAGACAACACTGATTATTGGACAATTCTTACTTCTCTTGAGGTGAATTGTATTTCCTCTAAATATCCTTTGGGCAATATAGAATATGATAGTCACAAATGCACAGGCTTAGAGTCGGTATTCACTATGTGAACTTCAACAAGCTACTAATTATCTGAGCCTAGCCTTCTCTTCCAAATTTGTAGGGCTATTGAGATAATTAAGTGACGTAACACAGAAAAAGTGCCCAGCAAGTGTCTGAAACATAATAGGCATTCAATAAATATTCTCTCTTCTGTGTCAATAGTTTAAAGCATTCTTGTCCTAAATCATCTTTGTTCCAACCATAAGATCCCTAATTCTTTTCATTATTCCAAAGTACTAACCATCCTGAGAGCTTGACCCCAGAATAGTTGGTCCTTTATAAAATGATGAAACAGTTTTAAATTGGCCTAAATGATCATTTACAGCAACCCTTTTTATTATCTTGGATGAGGTTATTTTGCCTGCTTATTTTCATTAAGCTGGAAATGCTCAGCCTGCTAATACACATGACCAATAACTAAAAAATTTTTAAGTTTTTAAAATTAAAATATGACAGAGTTAACCTTTCAAAGAATTTGAAATGATTCATAGGCACTATGTTAGTTATTTTAATGCTAATTAAATCATGATCTTTAGCATTATTTTTGTAGAACATCAAATTAAATATACTCAGCATATGGATATAATATTATATTTCTATATATGAATAAAGATATTCATGTCAATACAGGTATGATTATGCTAAGAACTAGTTCAGGCTTTTATGTATACTTTTTGTAAAACCATACTTTTTATATTTTCACCTTGATTTAATTATTATGAGAATTTGAGATATGAATGGATTCCTCTGTATCTGGAACAGGCAAGTTTGTAATATTTATGTTTCTAGGGATTACAAATTTTTTTTTATAAAAATATAATTTAAAATTGCACTGATGAGTTTGATGAGTTTTAACAATTATATACACCCATGTAACCACCACCCAAAACAAGCTAAAGAAAGCTTGTATCGCCGCAGCAAATTCTCTCATATCTCATTCTAGTCAATTCTCCACTTCAGAAGCAACTACTTTCTAATTTTTATCAACATAGGTTAAGTTTGATTTCTTCTTGGATTTCATATAAGTGGAATCACATATACATGTGTATTGCGTTATTTTCTGGCCCTTTTTTTTGATGAGAAGTCAGATATCATTCTTCTAATTGTTTTCCTGTATGGAATGTGCTTTCTCCATCACAAACTCCTCACCCTCTCACCCTCCCCACCCACAGCTACTTTTAAGATTTTATTATTATTTTTGATTTTCAGCAGTTTAACTATGGTGTGTGTAGGTATATTTTTGTATTTATTCTGCTTGGGGGTTATGGGGCTTATTGAATCTGTGGATTGAAGTCATTCATCAACTTTGGATCATTCATGGCCATTATTTCTTCAAATATTTTTTTTGCCTCATTCTCTGTTACCTTTACTAAGGGACTACAATTACACATATGTTAGATTATTTAATATTATCCTATACAGCTTGGATTAGAATTGAGTCAAATTAATATGTAGATGAATTGAGCTTGTTCTTTTTTATGGTTTTACTTTGAGTCTAGATTTTTCATCTCTTTTTCAGTTTGAATAAGTTATTTGGACTGTCTTCAAGTTTACTGATTCTCTTTTCTTCTTTGTTGTTTCTACAATTAAGGCTATTTAATTTTTAAAAATTTTATGACATTGTATATTTCTAGGATTTCCTTTTTTATTATAATTTCTATTGCTCTGATAAAATTGCCAACTTTTTACACATTTTGCCAACTCTTACAATAGATTCTATAACGTATTTATCATAATGTTCCATCTGATAATTTCAACATCTGGAACATTTCTGTGTCTGCTTCTAATCACTGTCTCTTTTCTTGACCAAGGGTCACCTTTTATTCCTTCTTCATATTTCTTGTAATTTTTTATTGTACACTGAACATTGTATTATAGAACTGAAATAAATAACGTTTACCCCCAGAATAAGGCACACCACTTCCTCAGTCAGACAACTACACTTGGGAACAGAGTGAAACTTATCTGTCAATGAACTAACTGAGTTTGGTCATTTTTGTGTCTTTACTTAGCTTCCATTAACAACTGGCCTCAAATATTTTGAGGGCAGGATCACAGCTTTCTTCAGCACAGGCTGGGATCTGAGCCCTACTGAGACTCAAGAAAACTCAGCTGCTGTACAGACTGGCTGTCAGCTTTTGGGTCACCAGATATTCTTCTTTTTCTCCAGTCCCGCCTCCAAACTTCACATCAGTATATCTCTCTCAGATTTTGTGGGGCCTCTGTAGTATACCCAGTTAGGGCAGACTCCTTACCATCCCAATAGCTTGGAGGTATTTCTTCCAGCTTTATGCCTCTCTCTATTTAGAACTTGCTTTCCATATGGTAAAAGCTTTGGTGGGATTTGTCTCAGCAAACTGTCCCCCTTTCACTCTTCAGCAGCCATTAGTAGACTTTTAGGGAAGACTCGGGATGTTTTTCAAGGACCCCTCTCAGTTTT